CCAAGGATGCATTTCTAAGGACAAGGTATCAATTACAGATACTTCTCTATTGATTTCCTGATATGTTGGCTCCATATGTCAATTTGCTGGGAATTTCATGGCACTGCAGGAAGCAATCAGAAATCTTCATAATCAAACATAATTGACTGATTTATAGGAGAGGCAAACTTTTGTTAACATTGATTAACACTTCCAATTAATTATTTACCATCTCCATGATAGTGTGTAATCAGAAGGTGGTAAAATAAACCTTAAAAACTAAACATTATTTTTTATTTAAAGCTCTATTGAGGAAGAAAATACTAGAATGTGTCTGTCACATACACTTTCTTCAATTAAAAGTTTTATGTTTTCAATTATCTCCATTTTATTTCAGTAAATGGTAATCAAGCATTTCTCTAGGACAGAATCTGTCCCTAGCACTGAGGGACATGCTAGATGAATGCAAGGACTATGCGAGATGAGCAGGAACTTTCCTTACTTCTAAAATTCTGTGTTCTGTTATATTTGCATTATTTTTAAAGTTAAGAAAGAATCATTTTCATTGGGATTCAGTTTATAAATAATTCTTAATATGACTTTTCAATGTTTATGTAATAGAGTGTAAACTAAATCTTCTATTTCTGTACTTCTAAAGTCATTTGTCGGGGATCTGTTGGCTGTTTAGTAGCAGAGACCATTATTAAATTAGAGCGTAATTATTTCTACATTTTTGTATCAACCAAAGTACACATTTCATTAGCATTTGAAGAAGACATCTCTTATAGTATATTGAGTCAGTTCATATTTCTGAGATACAAAGATAGAGGAATGTGATTAATGTCCAGATGCTTTACTTTAGAGATGGGCTTTTTGTAGAAATGAAGTAAAGATAGCACGTTGATTTAAAAAAATGTTTATTGGCATATAAGTAGAGATGCATAGTAACTTACAGGGTTCATTTTTATGACAGCCATACTCTGTTAGTTAAGGATAGGCAAAATATTCTTTAAAAAAAATGAAAACATGTCTTTTGCAGCAACATGGATGCAGCTGGAGGCCATTAACATAAGCAAATTAATGCAGGAGAAGAAAACTAAATACTACATGTTCTCACTTATAAGTGAGAGCTAAGCACTGGGTATTCCTAGTCATAAAATGGCGACAGTAGACACTGGGGACTACTGCTGGGGAAGGGGGAAGAGGGAAATGGGTTGAAAAACTAACTGTTGGATACTAGGCTCAATATCTGGGTAATTGGATCATTCGTATTCCAAACCTCAGCATCTCTTGGTATACTTATGTAACAAACATGCGTGTGTACCCTGTAAGTCTAAAATAAAAGTTGGAAAAAAAAATAAAGTAAAATATACCCTTAAAAAAAGAATAGGCAAAGTACTGAAGATAATTCTCAAATGCCAAATCCAAGGAAGTCTCTCAAACTATGTTCACTTCTGACTGTTCTCTCCCATTACATTGCTCAAGTTTATCACATACTTTTAACCTTATAGATGTAATGTGTGATATGATGACTTCATATTTGAAAATCCCCCAGTGAATGTTAACATGTGGCAGTTTGTGAGGATTCCTGTGGAAATCAGGGGGATCTCAGTCTTCTGAGGGAGGGTTTCATTGAGTTACTTTTGTGGAGAGGATTGCTTCCAGGGAGACTTATCGTGAAGATGTTTATGGTGTAAATATACCTGGTGAGAGAGAGAGGGGGACCAAAAAGGCAAGCAACAAAGAAGAAAGGAGAGGTGAGAAACAGGTTCCAATAGTTTACCGGGAATTTCATGTTTCTCTGCTGGCCTCCAAGGAAGTTCATACCTGCCAATTTGAAAGACTAGTCTGTAGATCATTTCTCAGGTATCAAGGTGCTTTTATAACCCTTGCTTTCTACGTTCATTCCCAGTGGACTCCATCATAAAAGCCAGGGACTGACACTCTTTTTTGAGGACAGTTTAGCTCTGTCACCTTCTTTGCCATTAGCCAGGCTCCTCAGGTAACTTATCAGTTCATAGAAAGTGTGGTGGGGCTAAAATCAAGCACTTAAGGCACCTGCTTCTTTTTCTTTTTCCTTTTGAGACAATGTCTTGCTCTGTTGCCCAGGCTGGAGTGCAGTGGCGCGATCTCGGCTCACGGCAACCTTTGCTTCCCGGGTTCAGGGATTCTCCTGCCCCAGCTTCTGTAGGTGGGATTACAAGTGCCTGCCACCATGCCTGGCTAACTTTTGTGTTTTTAGTAGAGACGGGATTTCCCTATGTTGGCCAGGCTCCTCTCGAACTCCTGACCTCAAGTAATCCACCTGCCTCAGCCTCCCAAAGTATTGAGATTACAGGCGTGAGCCACTGCGCCAAGCCAGCACCTGCTTCTTTAAGGCCGAAAGAATGGAGACTGCCCAGTGAAAAGCTGACCCCAGTGAGGGTACTGACTGAAGCCGGGGGCCTGCTGCTCATAGTGTCTCTCGAGGCAGTTGTCTCCCCCACCATGTGCTCACTGTCTTTAGTGGAGCTAAGCCTTGCCTCTGCTCCTGCTCACTCTAATACAATGTCTATTCTCAGAAAATTGACTAAGATTATGTTTACAAAGGATGCAAAGTACACTGGAATTAAAATTTATTGCCCTAAGACTATGTAAGTATTAAATAAACAAATTAAGTATTATACTAAGTTTTAAAAATTTTGATGATTTGTATATAAAGCAATAAATTTTATAACAAATAGAAATACTTGTGAAGATAAAGGCTTACTTGTACTTTAATAGGTTTCAGGGCTCAAATGATTAATTTTAAAAGAATTTATTGATACAGAATAGATGTACATATTTTGGGGGCACATGTGATAATTTAATATGCTCATATAATTTATACGGATAAATCAGTGTAATTTGGGTTATTGATCACCTTAAATATTTATCTTCTCTTTGTGCTAGAAACATTTGTTCTCTTCTAGCTACTTTGAATATACAACAGATTATTATAAGCTATAATCACCCTACAGATCTGTCAAACACCAGATCTTATTTCTTCTATCAAACTGTGTATTTGTACCCATTAATCAACTTCTCATTATTTTCCTCTCCCCATCCTCTTTCCGACCTCTGGTAACCACCAGTCTACTCTCTACCTTCATGAGATCCACTTGTTTAGGTCCCACATATGAGTGAGAGCATGTGACATTTGTCTTTCTTTGCTTGGCTTATTTTACTTAACATAATGCCCTCCAGTTCTATCCACGTTGCTGCAAATGACAGGGTTTTATTTTTTATGGATGAATTATATTCCCTTGTGTATATACCACATTTTCTTTATCCATTCATCCATTGATGAGCACTTAGGTTGATTCCATATGTTGACTATTGTGAATAGTGCTGCCATAAACATGGGAGAGCGGATATCTCTCTTTGATATACTCATTTCCTTTTTTTGGATATATACAGAAAGGGTTAATTTTTGACAACAGTTATGATTTCCCTTCCATCTTTCATGTCTTACTCATCCTCATTTTAAACATATGACTTGGAATAATCTGAAAATATAATAGCATTGCCTGAAATATAGAGCAAGTCTCACTTGCATTGATGGTGACATATCCTGCTAGAGGTATTCTATAATCAGCACAGCTCCTTCAAATGGATCAATAATGTTCATGTCATGGCTATACTGCTCTGAGCTAAACCACAGAGATATGTGTATTGGGTTGTGGGAATAAAGGGAAATGCAAAGGGTTAGGATAGGACACCTCCATCACCACCACTACTCTAGATGCTATTGGAATCAAAATAGCTGACATCCATCAGTTTCTTAATATGTACTATGGATTATTCCAAACACTTTATATTTGTTAATTCATTTAGTCTTCCTAGCAACCCTATTTTATAGCTACGGTTATTATCATGTCAATTTTAGATATGAGGAAATTAAAGCACGTAAATATCAAGTAGTGTGCCTAATGTTACGTAACTAGTAATAACTAGTAAGTGGCAAATTAGAGCTGAGATTGAAATCCAGGTAATCTGAAGGCAAAGCTCACACATTCAACCTCTAAACATTGCTTTTTTTCACATAGAGTTCATAACTGGCAACAGGTAGGGAAATTTCTAACATGTAAAATAAAAGTTTTAGTTTGAATGTTATTAAGTTGCCAGAATATTATCTAGTTTTAGCCTATTGCAAATTTTAGAATATATTTAAAACTTTTTAAACTATGCCATGCAAATATCCATGGTAACTTGAAAATAGAGACTTTTCATAATAGACATTCAATGTTTGAAACTTTTTTTTGAAAATGCGTCATTTGATATTATTACTAATTCCAGATAATGTTTAGTAAGGTCTTACTGGGTGCCAGGCACTGTTCCATATGTATCACATCTTATTTTATTTGATTTTCTTAATACCATGTAAGTAATATGTTATTATTACCTACTTAAAAAGCTTGGGGGCTCAGAGACAAAACCACTTTTGCAGTCATACCTGGTAAGTAGTGCAGTGAAGGTGGGCACCCAAGTTGAGCTGACTCCAGAGCCAAAATTTGAAATCGTTATGCCATACTGCTGCAAGCATCCACTTCATAAAACTGTGTGAAGATTTGATGTATTTTACTACTTTATGTTTATTTACCCAAATCTTTGTTACTAGTTTTACTACTTTATGTTTATTTACTACTTTATGTTTATTTACCCAAAAATTAATTTTAAAAAATTTAAATTTAAATTAAAAATTAAATTTTAAAATTTAATATTTTAGTAGGCATAAAACTAGGATGTTACTTTGGTCCATAGTACTCTGAAAAATTACGTTTTTCATACTATACTGTAGTTGTCCATTTGTTTGCTTTTCTCCCTTCACAAGGCACTAAGATCCTTGAAATAAGAATTTTGCATTAATTTTTGAGTCCTCAACATTGAGCATACTGCTTGGTACATAATAGAATCTTTTAAAAAATGTGTGTTGAACAAATTAACAAGTAAAGGCAGTGTTAAAAGGATGCTTTGGTTAAGCTTTTTCTTCCTTGAAATAGGTTGATACGCTCATAATGATGTACAAAACTCACTGCCAGTGTATCCTGGACAATGCAATTAATGGAAACTTTGAAGAGGTAAGAATGACAAAGAATGTTTTATTGACCCTGTTATATATACTTTCATGTTCTGTTCTTAATGAGTTCATGTTAAAGAAAAAAATCTTAACATACTTTTTACTCTGCAACTAGATCCAGCATTTTTTATTACACTTTTGGCAAGGAATGCCTGACCATCTTCTTCCCTTACTTGAAAATCCTGTTATCATTGACATTTTCTGTGTTTGTGACTCAATTCTTTATAAGGTAAGCACTCTGATATGTCTTAAACATGAGCCATTTATTTCTTTACATAGCATTCTATCTAAATTCTTGCAATATATTTTCAGTAAATGTATTATTTATGGCTGGAGATATACTATCATTTTTTTTCTGATGAGAAAGCAAGCAATTTAATAGTGCACGTTTAATAGTGTATGTGTTTTAATTGAAGTTTACATTAAGTAAAACAAACTCAATTTGTTTTTACAGCTAATAATGAATCTTTATGTGGCACACTTATGTGAAAAATTAGTTAAATTTTATTAACTCTCTAAGGTGTTTTCAGATTAAAATAACACAATGGATTTTTTTTCACAATGCCAGTGTTTTGGCAGAAAGCAGAATTAGGCACCCTCATGAGATTAATAACTTGAAAATCTCAAAAACCTCTAACTTTAATGCACTGATGTCTAATTCTCTTCTCAAACCAAATCAGAGTTCCTAAGTGTCTACAGAAGGATCTCGAAGACATCCTAAATAAGGACAAACTGATTGTCCTTCTAGCCAAACATTTAATGGGAGATGGAAAGAGGCTAATTCCTGACAGTCTCTTCCCTGGTGGCTACAGGCTCTAAGCTGATGGAGAAAACTATATTGCAATGTGGGTACTTTAAAGTGAGTTTGCCTACATTTGCCTGCTAACTTATCGTAAGGAAAAACAAAAGCTTTCCTTTTAAAAAATAATCTGAGTTGGCAAGAAAACCCAAGCTGGACGCTGTTAACATTTAGGAAATAAAATCCTTCTAAGTTAGTTGCCACTATCAGATTCTCAGCTTTGCAGAAAAGTAAAACAAAAGCTATTTATAGATAAGCTATTTATAGATAAGTCCAGAAGCCCCTATGCAGACCAAGAACTAATGAGACAGCTTGCATAAGACAGCTCATATTTTTGTCCTCTATCCAGTACTTACTCATCATAGGAGAAAGGAGGAATAAAGTACAATATATTTTCTGCCTTTAGTTCAAGTTCAAGTTGAAAAAATTTCAAAGAAGAGTAAGGATTGTCTTTTTTTTTTTTCTGGATTGAATATGAATGCCATTCTTTAGAGAAAAACAGTTTAATTTGCGTTAATTGTTTGTAATACTTAACACTTGAAAAGGCTCCCGAAAGGGGAGAGGAGGCAGCTCCATGAGTGAGTGTAAGAAAAGACCTGGGGCTCATCCACACGCATTTCCATCAGAGCAAAGCTTGTTGGACTGTCATTCAGTTTGTCCAGGAAATACTTTTAAAACATATTTTTCCCTTTAAGTGATCTATTTTTTTAGTCTGGTATAAAAATCCTGACTTTAAATATCTTTAAATGAACCCAGTTTCTCCCCCTCATGATGGACCCAGGCAGGCACAGTGAGCTCTGTAAGTAGAACGATGTAAGATGAGTTTCTAAAAAATCTTCCTCCCACCTCTAGAAAGTGGTCAGCTTTTCATCATAAAACAGTATATGATTACCACGGACCAATCCATTGGTAATTAACATACTCAGCATATACGTATACAGTGCTATCTCTTGTTTTTATTGTCATACATGCTCACACACAACTCATACATACATTCATGTTAGAGATAAAATTATAACTTTCAGAAAGGAGTTAACATGTTATTCTCTAGGAAGCTAGGAATAAAAAGTAGTTGGCCAATAATATGTCTTTCTATAGAAATACTACGTGAAGATTTGTATTAACCTCTTTTGCTATGATTAAGGTTCTTACAGATGTACTAATTCCTGCAACAATGCAAGAAATGCCTGAAAGGTATGTTCAGTTAATAAAACATGAGCATTCCTAGTATAGGATTTAACTTTATACATTATATTAGAAGAAAACATTAGGTAGTAATTTATTCATTTATCAAGAAGACTATTTTCTACTTGTGTCCCTTTGTATTTGCTGGAAGCGATGTGTCTTATAGTTGGGCCTCAATAAACAAAATGGGTGAAACAATCCTTCAATCCCTTTAATTTGGGAGTGGCTAAAGTGAAAAATAGATTTAAGCACTGTTGACCTTCGAGAAATTTTTCAATGGAAACTAGCTGGAGTATGATAAAAAAAGATAATGGAAAATAACCACAAGAATAAAAACTATAGGATAAATTATTATATTTTATTATTAACTTTTGTCTTAATTACAAAAGCAGAAAGTGGCATGATGAAATCACTGCCTTCTTTTAACAAAGGAATAAAATCTCAAATAGTTTATTGAAACAATACCAGAAGATTTTTCAAAAAACTTTTCAATATAAGAACAATAGAATTCTGAAAAAAAACCCAACTTTTTCTCTGAAAACAAAATCTAATGAAATGATAAAATTTATTTTAGTACTTTGGGGGTACAAATTCATATAGGACTGGACATAGTTGGTGCTCCAAAAATAGATGTTGCTTGATAAAACAAATTTTACTTTTTATTTACCTTTTCCTCTAGATTATTTCATCTATATGATAGTTGGTATTAGCCTGACCAATAATGTCTTTTAATTATCAATTGTAGTCTTTAAATATCTATTCTGTACTCTGAATTGGGTACTTGAAGTGGAGTTTGAAGAGCTTGAGTGTTTTGACCAAGATGATAACAAAACATCTCATGTACCCCATAAATATATACACCTACTATGCATCCACAAACATTTAAAAAATATATCATAGAAAAGATGATAAATGGCAGACCTAGGCTGTCTGACTTCAAAAGTACTGCTCATGAAATCATAGAATAATAATATACCTCAATTAAAATATAACTGTTTAATGCATTTTTTAACAATGAAGCATTTAACACATAGCCTTCTTTGTAGCTTATTAGCAGACATAAGAAATTTTGCTAAAAATTGGGAACAGTGGGTTGTTTCATCCTTGGAAAACTTGCCAGAAGCCCTAACTGATAAGAAAATACCTATTGTGCGAAGATTTGTATCTTCTCTGAAACGACAAACATCTTTCTTACATCTTGCTCAGGTATGTTGATTGCTAAGCTGAGAGCATTTGAATTACCATATAAAAAATGAATCTTCTGGCCGGGCGCGGTGGCTCAAGCCTGTAATCCCAGCACTTTGGGAGGCCGAGACGGGCAGATCACGAGGTCAGGAGATCGAGACCATCGTGGCTAACACGGTGAAACCCCGTCTCTACTAAAAAACACAGAAAAAACTAGCCGGGCGAGGTGGCGGGCGCCTGTAGTCCCAGCTACTCGGGAGGCTGAGGCAAGAGAATGGCGTAAACCCGGGAGGCGGAGCTTGCAGTGAGCTGAGATCCAGCCACTGCATTCCAGCCTGGGCGACAGAGCGAGACTGCGTCTCAAAAAAAAAAAAAAAAAAAAAAAAAGAATCTTCTGATAAGAACAGATTGAGGAACTTTCACAGATTGAAGGGAGCTAAGTAGACAACAACTAAATGCAACATGAGACCCCAAAATGAATGCTATGATAAAAAAAGCACATTAGTGGGAAAGCTGGTGAAATTCGAATTGTGTCTGTAGTTAATAGTATTGTACCATTGTTAATTTCCTGATTTGGGTAATATACAATAGTTACAGAAGATGATAAGAAGCTGGATGGAGAGTATATGGAAATACTCTGCACTACCTTTGCAACCTCTCTGTGATTTGAAATTTAAAAAACTTGAATGCAATTTAACATTTATTTGCCATGTGAATCTAATTGCTACAAATAAGGTTGTGAGAAATTAGCCTATGTGATACTTAATATTGTGAAACCACAAACTTAACACATTTTAAACTGCCGACTAATCGTAGCTCTTTTAAGTAGGGAGAACAAAAGTCATTCATAAATTAAGAATTACACATTATATAGTGTTAAAATCGACTTCTCTTTCCCCAAAATGATTATTTGCTTTATGAAGATTTCTTGCCTTCTAAATTTTAAAAGACAAGCTTGAGATAATTTCAGATAGGAAATGTAACATTTAAAAATTCTTATTTTATGATCATGGACAAAGAAAATCCATTTATATTTTCTAAGTTAAAAATAATTTTCAAACTTTTAACAGAGATGATCATGAGTCTCAGCTGCTGTTTTTATCTTTAAAACAAGAAAAAAGTTATTTATGATACTTTTATCTCAAGGAACTATTTTTCTGATAGCTAAAAGTTTCTTCTAGATACATTAGAAATGATAATAGTGTAGTGTCTTTACTTTCTCTATGCAGATTGCCAGACCAGCTCTCTTTGACCAGCATGTCGTTAATTCTATGGTATCTGATATTGAAAGGGTTGATTTGAACAGCATTGGCTCTCAAGCCCTTCTTACCATTTCAGGCAGCACAGACACTGAATCTGGTATCTACACTGAACGTAAGTCCATTCTCTTTGTTTAGAACAAGGTTTCCCAAGCTCAGGAAATTGACATCTTGAGCTGGGTAACTCCGTTGGAGGAGCCTGTCCAGTGTGTTGTAGGATGTTTAGCAGTATCCCTGACCTCTACCCATTAGATGACAGTAGCAGCCTCCTCCAAGCTGAGACAACCAAACATGTTTCCCCACATCGTCAAAGGTGTTCTGGGCTGAAAAATCACATCTGATAAAAAAAAAAAAATCTGGTTTATAAAAATATTTTTAATTAAAAAAATTATCTTCTAATAAAAAATAGTTATAGTTACTCACTGTGAAAATACAGAAAATATTGAGGAAAATAAAAGTCATCTATAATCTTATTACCTAGAAATAAATGAAATGGAAATAATCTGAAAATAATCAAAATGGTTTTGAGTTTTGTAAGTTTTCTTTCAGTTTTACATTACATGTGTACAAATTTGCATGTGTTTTATAGTCTTGTCATCCTGTGTTGTATGATACATATCAAAATGGTATCTCAGCACAATACTGCTTTTCAAAGCAGACTCCCTACTCAGATTTAGACCATCTGACAGAGACTACCAAGCCAATATGTGTGGCTAGACAACTAGTCTTGAATTCCAAGGGATAACAGCCACTATTTTTTCCTCCCACTGTCTTTGAAAAGACAAAGCCTGCAGCCTCCCATACACTGGTGCACAAACTATGGACTGCTCTCTGGGGCCCAATGTCAACTCCAATTTTTATTTCCTAACGTAAAATAGTATTACCTTTTGAGATTCAGTAAACCTTAAACCCTTTAATAGAAGGATAGTCTTAAACTGTCCTTTTAAATATTACATGATAAAACGTTATTCGGGTAAATGGCTCAGTTCTGCAGTGAAGAACTTAACTTTTACTAAAGATAAAGGATATTTTGGAAAGCAGGATATCACCAAGCTTAGGTTCATTCATTAGCTTTTAACTAATCTGTTCCATTTAATGAAAACATTAGACTCAAAATGAATATTTAACTACATAACCAACTTAATCTTCCCTAGTATATGCATACACATATATATAATATTGAAATCTATATTTCAATACATACCAAGATATATACACTTATTAAAATTTTGGGCACACTTCTAGAGGCTGAGGTGGGAAGATTGTTTGATCCCAAGAGTTCAAGACCAGCCTGGGCAACAGAGCAAGACCTTTCTCTACATTTTTTTTTTTTTTAAATTTAGCTAGGCTTGTTGGTGCATGCTTGGAGTCCAAGCTGCTTGGGAGGCTGAGGCAGGAGGATCACTTGAGCCCAGGAGTCTGAGGCTGCAGTAAGCCATGATCATGTCATTGCACTCCAGCCTGGGCAACAAAGCAAGATCCTCTCTCTCTGTCTCTCTCTCTCTCTCTCTCTCTCTCACACACACACACACACACACACAGACACACACACACACACACACCCCATTGAAGAGTACAGTACTAAGGAATTTTTTGTTACTGTTTTCAATATATGATATTAATTCTTTTCACCATTTATCTGTCTTTCTCTTTCATGCTATCAAAGTATTGATGATTTCTAGTTTTAGATTTTCTCTTGGATTCCAAGTAGAGTGCAATATTCTGTTTTCTTTTCTTTCTTTCTTTTTTTTTTTCCTGGGTAGATGACTCTATCACTGTGTTCCAAGAACTGAAGGATCTCCTTAAGAAGAATGCCACCGTGGAGGCTTTTATTGAATGGTTGGATACTGTGGTAGAGCAGAGAGTTATTAAGGTACTTTTTAATGACAGATTCAGAAAATAAGTTTCTTGTTAAGAGTAAATGCTAAACTGGCTATAATTTTTTGATTGGGGGGAGAGGGGTGGAAGGCGGTGTGTGTGAAGGCTTTGAAAAGCTTTTGATGCTCTACGAATAAGGCAGGCCAAATATTGAGATTAGGAGTATGTCAAGATTTGAGAGCACTGGGCATGGATTTCAGTATATTTCTCCTTTCTCGCCCAAAGACTACAAGATGCTCTGCCTTCCCTATCAGTCAATAACATTACAGCTGATAACATCAGTAGAGAAAGATAAACCTAGAAACTGGAATGATCTGGCCCGTTTCTAGAAAGCAAGATTTCATAAATGCTGATGGAAAACATGGTTCTAAGCATTTGCATTTCTGAATTCCAAAAGCTCAGTATTTTGTGTTTTCTCTGTGATTTCTTAATTTTCTTCAGTTAACCTAGTCATCCATCATGAAACAAGCAATAAGAACAAATATATCCATCACTAGTTGGTGTTAGCTATTCCATATCAAGGAAAGTAGTTATAGTTTGGAGACTTTTTTCCTTCTGGAAGGAAAATAGCTTACCATTCAGTACCAAAGAAGCCAATCGTTCACAAAAATATATAGCCCTTCCTTCACACCTCACTTTCTGTTCTTTTTAAAGCTCTGTCAAAGAAAAATTAAAAATAAAAATATTTTGAAAATTATTTCATTTTGCTGTCTAATTCTGTTAGGAAACAGAGCCATATTGAATACAGACTTATTACCCTTAGAACATCAGCAAAGACAGGCTAACATTAAATTCCCAGTACAGATAGTTTTATTTGATGAAATAAATGCCATGCCATCTGTCCATTTGTTAGACAGTATATTTACCTCTTGATCTAACATAGGATTAATGTAGTACTGAGAGGACAGATTTTATAGTTTCATTTTGTTCCTTTACTTTTAGACCAGCAAACAAAATGGAAGGTCATTAAAGAAGAGAGCTCAAGACTTTCTGTTAAAGTGGAGTTTTTTTGGTGCTCGAGTAATGCATAATCTCACCTTGAACAATGCATCCAGTTTTGGTAACATATGTGCATTATAAAACTGTTCTTACATGAATTATATCATTTGTTCCCCAGTCACATCTCCTGTCAATTTTTAAACATGTTACATTGTCACTTCTTAAACTGTATCTAAATATGGAGCTATGAGAAAATGGTAGTTATGAACCTGGGTTTAGGAGTCAGACCATAAGCAGGATTAAATCCTAACAATGATCCTCTCTGGCTGTGGGCCAATCTGCTCACTGAAGAAGGGGAAGACTATTCTCTTCAAAGGGTTATGTAGGTACTTTGGTGAGATGATGTTTATAAAAACAAATTGCCTAGCACTCAGGAAATGCTTACGGCATAGCAGCTATTATCATTACATTCCATCAGTGCTTGGATAAATTTTCTTTGTTAAATGATAATTAAGACATAATTTAACAAAATTATTATTCATTGCAATATGGCAAATTTCTGCATCTTTTCTGAGCACCCATATAGCTGCACTCCAGGAATCAATAAACAGCTTAGAAGACACACTCTCATGTCTCTGACCCATCTTTCCTGTTCTATACGCCTTGGGAGACACAGAGGGTTAAGTTAGCTTTTTATAAAATTGAATACCTTCTTTTTCCTTAAAATTCCTGAGACTCCTTTTTATAGTTATAATGTTAAACTCATGGGTAGGAACTCTGCATTTGGTAGCTGCATTTCAGGAAGTCTTCACATTATGAAAGAGATTACAATTAACTAAATTGTTTGTATTTAATGTTCCGTAGAATTAAATAAAATCAGTGAATTTGTATTGAAGAATAAACAATATGCATTGTCTATTATTTGAAATAGACTTCCCATATTTAAAGTTTTATAAAATATACAGCATTGAAGTCTGGTCTTACTACGAAAAATACTTTTGTTGGAAAATCTATTGAATAGTTAAAAGAAGTTTTAGTTTTCCAGAACATATTTCACTTGAAATTTACTCTTTTAGTTTTTGCCAAATCTAAGAATATTTTGTTTCAGGCTAGAAAGATAACTCTTTACTTGCCTTTTTTCAGACCATGTTCGCCATTGTCTAATTATTTAGTACAAAGTAAACAGAAATAGAGCAGAGTAGAGTCATTCTCCCCAAGTTAAAGCTTATCACACTCCAATGTGTGCCCTCTTAAAGCATAAAGCATGTCTCACTTTCATCCGTATTTTCCTTTGATGTAATTAGTGGCCAAAGAGCTGGCAGGACAGTACACACAGAGAGCAGGGCAGGCAATACACAGAAAGATCAGAGATCCAAGTTAAGCATGTTGGTCTTAGCAGGTCATTTAAAGTCCAACAAGTGTTTGTTTATTTCAGTTGCTCCTTGTAAAGTGTTGCGAGATGGTCACAAAGATAACTGACTTCTCTTTCCCTTTCCTTCTCTTTCTCTCCCCTTTTCACATTTCACACTGTCCTCTCTTCATTCTCCATCCATAAACAAGGTTCTTTTCATTTGATTCGAATGCTTCTTGATGAATACATTCTCCTGGCCATGGAGACCCAGTTTAATAATGACAAAGAGCAGGAGTTACAGAATTTATTGGACAAGTATATGAAGAATTCAGGTAACTTAAAATAACTGTTTTGTTTTGCGTATTTCTTTGTTTAAATCTGAAGTTCAAGAATTTGTAAGTGCAAATATTAAGTGGGTTTATCATAATCTCAGAGTTTTTCTCCAAACTAATTCTCACCATATAGTCACACTATTGGGGCACTATTTTTCTTTCATTCATTGATATGTACAGTAGTCAAAAGTACTTTACTGGAAACTCTGAAGTATACAAAATTGGTGATCTTAATTTCTGGGAATTAAGGTGAAGTTGGAGAAGTGACTATAATACAAAAAATAACTGTAATTCAAGACACATATGGTATACTACATAGGGAAGTGGTGTAAAAATAGGTTCTATAGGAGTTTAGAGAAGGAAGGAAACACATCTATTTGGGATGGGGCAACTTGCATTTTGAAGACTTCACCCCAAAGTGGATTATTTAGTGCTCCTCATCTACATCCACATCCACAAATATGCAGCTAAAAAAACCCTAGCATCACTGCCAAGAGCAAAGGTCTGCTAGTCTCACTTCCCATGGGAAACATTGCTTAGTAGTTTCCAGATTCAATACTCAGCAATGAAACATTTTCATTTTCTTTTACTTGGGTGTATCTACTAGGAATATGAGAAAAAATCTCAAATTTCCCATTTTAAAAACTCTTTACAGATGCGAGTAAAGCTGCTTTCACTGCTTCTCCGAGTTCATGCTTTCTGGCCAACCGTAATAAAGGGAGCATGGTTTCCAGCGACTCTGTGAAGAATGAAAGCCATGTGGAGACAACCTATCTCCCTCTGCCATCCAGTCAATCTGGAGGCCTAGGCCCTGCTCTGCACCCGTTCCCTGCTGGGAATACAGACAACATGCCGCTCACAGGTACGCTAAAGAGAACTGCTTAGGTTCCAGCGCATCTCAGAGAAGCCTGTTCCTTCGTTTTTCTTAAAACTCGTAACCTCTACTCCAGGAATTCCAACAATAAGAAAGGATGATCTTAACTGAGTTTTAAAAAAGATTTATAATAGTTTTGTGATTTTCAGCAATGGTAATAATACTGTTATTAACACAGGTTTCATGTTTTAACACACTGCATAAATTATATTAGAAGTATGAATAATTAATTTAGTGGAAGAAATAATTAGATGAGGTATACATAAAATTCTTAAGATGCTTTGAAGATAAAAAAAATGGGTTGCTTATTTTTGGATTTTGAGGAGACTTTATTTCTCCTTCCCTAAAAAGTAGATTCGGCCTCGGTGCAGTGGCTCATGCCTGTAATCCCAGCATTTTGGGAGAATGAGGCGAACGGATCACCTGAGGTCAGGAGTTCGAGACCAGCCTGCCCAACATGGCGAAACCCCATCTCTACTAAACATACAAAAAATTAGCCAGGCGTGGTGGCAGGCGCATGTAATCTCTCTTGAACCCGGGAGTAGGAGCTTGCAGTGAGCTGAGATCAGGCCACTGCACTCCAGCCTGGGCGACAAGAGTGAAACTCCGTATCAAAGAAAAAAAAACTGGATTCTGCTATTTTAGGTTAATTGTTACAATAATTCTCCCTTTTGATCTAAGGTTCTTTTTGTGTCAAAATGAATATTTGGTGGCTTGACCTAGCTACTCGGCAGTATTTTAAATCTGCTTATTGCCTTGTGTCTTTTTTGAAATCTTTTTTATACATTACTTCTTTTGATATACAGAATTTGAAACCTAGAAAAGCCTTATAATTCAGGGGTCCAGTTCTACCAGTGGAACATCGGAGGCCCAGAGAGTTGGTCGCATTCATAAATCACATTACTTATCAGAAGTGTTTGCATGACATTTTGAATTGACTGCTTTGAAGCCATGGCCATTTTGACATTAGAGACTTTTTCCTTTTACCCTAAAAGTCAAACAGTTTAACAATCAGCTAATTTTTTCATTATGGGGAAATATGAGCAGCAGACACCCACGCCCTCCCCATGCTACCTGTGGAGAGACCACGAAGCCCATCCCAGACTTTCCTCTATAGTCACCAAATCCGTCTCCGCTGTTGTGACACATACATGTGTTGTGATTATATTTTTTAAATTCTGGATTTTTGGTGCTTTTCAGTTTAGTTATTTTTGGAGGGCAGGAATGAAGCAAGTTGGAAAACAATACATTAATAAATATTTTGAATATTTTTTAAAGATGTGAGCTCATCTACTTTAATATGACACTAAAGGAATGTTCTGGTAATTTTCTGCAGGTCAAATGGAGCTTTCACAGAATGCTGGTCATATGATGACACCACCCATTTCCCCAGCCATGGCAAGCCGAGGAAGTGTCATTAACCAAGGACCAATGGCAGGGAGACCCCCAAGTGTGGGCCCAATACTGTCAGCTCCATCACACTGCTCCACATACCCAGAGCCCATTTATCCTACTCTCCCTCAAGCCAACCATGACTTTTACAGCACCAGCTCTAACTACCAGACTGTGTTTAGGGCACAGTCCCACCCCACATCAGGACTCTATCCTCATCACACCGAGCATGGTCGATGCATGGCTTGGACTGAACAGCAGCTTTCAAGAGACTTCTTCAGTGGTAGCTGTGCGGGGTCTCCATATAACTCCCGGCCACCATCCAGCTATGGCCCATCCCTGCAAGCCCAGGATTCACACAATATGCAGTTTTTAAACACAGGAAGCTTCAATTTCTTGAGCAACACAGGAGCTGCCAGCTGCCAAGGAGCAACACTGCCTCCTAATTCACCAAATGGTATTGATATGTAAAAGAATTTTTCTTGGTTTTTGAGATGGCAATGAGGCAGAATCAGACATTGCGTTCCACCTCTGCTGACCAGCATGTCCTTTCACTTAAGGCCTCCAAAGATCATGGAACTGAGACATTTGGAGCTGATTTCTGTCACATACACATATATTTCCTAATTTTTGTGGCTTTCCTAAAGTTGCCCTTCTTCCTTCTTTTTTTTTTTTTTTTTTTTTTTTGAGACAGGGTCTTGCGCTGTAGCCCAGGCTGGAGTGCATTGGCAGGATCATGATTCACTGCAGCCTCAACCCCCTGAGCTCCAGCAATCCTCCTATCTCAGCTTCCCAAGTAGCTGGGATTACAGGCATGCATCACCATCCCTGTCTAAATTTTAAATTTTTTCTGAAGTTGAAGTCTTGCTATGTTTGCCCAGGCTGGTCTCAAACTACCAACTTTAAGCAGTCCTCTCTCCTTGGCTTCCCAAAATGCTGAGGTGCCTCCCAAAGGTGTGAGCCAGCACCCCTGGCCTGAAGTTGTCCTCCTAAATACCACACATGTTACAAAAAAAAAAAAAGAAAAAAAAAAGATAGGTAATATCATATGTTTGAGATCTACCTTAACAGCCCCAAAGAAGAATGTTCTGTCTTTTGAAAACATTTTTAGTGGATAATATTTCTTCCAGATAACTAAAAGCAGATTTTAAAGATTGGGACCAAAACGGGTCAATAAAAATTGGAAGTTAAGGGAACTGGAGAGACCTGTGACCTTGAGTCACCAAAATAGGTTTTGTGTGTAGACATCTTTGGTGTCTTTCTCCTAAGTGTAGGCCAGTCTTTGTCTCCCCTAAATATGCATCTACACATGAAAGTAGTATTTTTGTGACAGGTGATAGTGCTTTTTTCTTTCTTAGTAGGTAGCTCTTGTTAATTTAGATAAGGGAAATCTGACAGAGGTGTAATCTGGTCTTAAAGTTAATACAATTATTATGTATTATGTATTATGCTATAATTATTATATTAAATTATGTATGATGCTACAATTCTTACGTATTAAAAACAAAAAAAAAACAGCACAGTAAACCTTATCTATATACAAGCGCAAATCCAGTTCTGTAGCATATATAGATAGATACACATGTAATACTTGCAGTTTGATATCTTAAGCACATCACCTAATTACTTTGTCACCTTTTTGCTTTCTGAAAGTTCTTTGTAGTAAGTTAACAGCAAATTCTCAACATTTTCTGTTACAGGATACTATGGAAGCAACATAAACTACCCAGAGTCTCATAGGCTCGGATCAATGGTGAATCAGCACGTTTCTGTCATCAGCAGTGTTCGCTCACTGCCCCCCTACAGTGACATCCACGATCCACTTAACATTTTAGATGACAGTGGTAGAAAACAGACCAGCTCGTTTTACACAGACACATCATCTCCAGCTGCATGTCGAACTCCAGTCCTAGGTAAATTATTTTAGTAGTTCTTGGAAACATTTTAAGAAGTCGTTGACCTCAGGTATGCAGCATTACTTGAGGGAGATATGCTGAGGTGAATTGAGCAAGCATGTTCCCACGGTTGATTTATTATTATTACTTTGGATCTAAAGTTATATTTTTTGTATCTGACTACACAGTAATAGGTTTTCATTTCTTATTGTGTATATCTCTATTATGCAACCTACTGCTAGATCTGTTATGTTTTACAAAAAAATAGCTGGTATCTATTAAGGAGGCAAAAAATTAATATGACCTGTCAAATGCACTCTAAAACTGTAAGTTTTAAAAGGGCAGTAATAATATCTTTTTCTCACTCTTGATTAGTGTTGGACCCAGTTGTAGTGGCAAGAGGTATCTTTAGGTCTCATGATCTCCATAAGTATCCAAAAATCACTCCAAGATTTAAAAGAACTGGTGTCTTGTGATGCGTGCTACTAGCATTCTCTCATTCTTATTTAAAATGTGATTCAACACCTCGAGAAAATGTTGCTATTTTTATTACTCTCTGACATATCATGTAAGTAAAAATAAGAAAAACAGTGTGCTTGCCATGAAACCTCCTGGAATCTTCTTCCAACCAGGTTACCTTTCTTAATCCTTGTCTATGAAGAAATTCTGCAACTGGTACTAGTTGCATCACCAGCACCTAACAAAATGTCTGCCACATAGTAGAAACTCAATAAGTGAGTGAGTGAAAAAAGGAATAAAAACTATATATATATATATATATGTGTGTAGTCTGTAAATAATTAGTATAATTAGTATGTTATTGGTAATAACATAGATTTAGTCACTATAGATTTAGCTTCTAAAATTACTAATAAGATTTCACAGGGCAAATATATATTCACTAAGTATCAAGGCAGAGTGTTAATATTTATATGAGATGGTTAAAATCTTCCAATGAAATTGATTTCAGACTAGCATAAGTAAAGGGCATTGACACACAACTAGAGCATAAGGGAAAATGGAATCAATTTCATCTCTCCTCACTCAGTGTACCTTTCCAATAATTCAATAGGAAGTACTCCTTCTCTTCCTGTCACTGTCACACATGCTCCCTGAGCAGAATCTAGCAGCTCATCTCCTGCTATCTGCAAATGGTCATTGCTTCTAGGTTACTCTAATGAAGCAGAAAATTCCACTTCAGGAAGTTTTCTCACCATGAGACTAAAATGTACTGTGTTGCTATTGTTACTATTAGTTCTGTTTACTTGAAGAGATAGTGGAAGCTTTGACGAAACATAGGTTTAAGAGTAGGGTGGAGTCTAAGCTTTAGTTGATCAGAGCTGGCTTACAAGTAGATTGCAAAGTGTGATGCAGGGTAACATGAGGGGATAGAATAAGTGGATAGGTAGTGCAAGCAGAATTGAGTTCAACTGTTTCTTAATTATAAAGCCTGGTTCTTAGACAGAGAGCATGCCATGTCAGCAATAAGAAAGCAGCAACCATATATGAGGGAAATACAGAGTTAGTGAGCCAGTTAGTGAATTTTATTGAGAACCTACTAGGAGCCAGACTCCATTCTAGATGTGAGGATATGGTGGTGATCAGGCCATAGTTCTTGCCTGTAAGAAGTTTACATTATAGTAGAGGGACAGTAAGGCAATAAATATATGAGCAAATGCATTAAAAAGATAATGCCAAGTACTCTGAACTTGATTAAATAGGGTAAAATGACAGATAGTAAAGGAGGAGCTGCTTTCTGTAGGACAGCTGAGAAAGGAATCCTGAGGCAGAAACATTTGAATTGAAAGCTGAGTGATGAGAAGGAGGCAAAGATGTGAAGATCTGAGGGAGGAGTTCCAGGCAGAAGAAGCAGTGAATACAGGACCGCTGAAATCACAATAAATTTGAAAACAATCAACGGGCAGAGAGCAGGCCAGTGTGTCTTAAGCATGTTGAATGAAGGAGAGAGTAGAGCAAAATAAAACAAAAAGCAGGGGCGCATCTACATAGGGTAAGACGCTTGGATCATGTTCCACGGGTATGGGAAGCCACTATGGCATTTGAAATGAGTGAAAGTTTGATCTGCTCTTCAGCAATATCATTCTGGCTGCTCTCAGGAGGGTGAGTGGGTGAGACAAAGGTGGAGATCATGGGACCAGTCAGGAGGCTGCTGTGTTGGTACAGGAGAGAAAAGATGGTGGTTTGAACTACAACCACAAAAGTGCAGATGGAAAGAGAAGGTAGATTGGGGGATGTAGTTTGGTGATAGCACTTAAGTTGAAATTGAGTTTTCTTTGTGAAATATGTAGAGGAAATAATTTCTGGGAGACTAGCGAGTGGGAAAAAAATGGAAGAAAAGATAATAGATCTGGTAAACCATACAGACTCAAATTTAGAATAGGTATGTGTGCTAAGTGCAAAAATAAATACAGGGAATTAAAATGAGTGGCATTTGCAGAGAAAAGAAAATGTCGATCAATTTTCAATTGCTGATTATATTTTCCCTTACAGCTTCCAGTTTGCAAACCCCAATTCCTTCTTCCTCATCCCAATGTATGTATGGAACTTCCAACCAGTATCCAGCTCAAGAAACCCTGGACTCCCATGGAACAAGCAGTAGAGAAATGGTGTCCTGTTTACCACCTATCAACACTGTGTTCATGGGAACAGCAGCTGGAGGCACTTAAACCACCAATGTGGGAGGGGGTGCTAAAACTTAAAAAACAATCTCTACTGTGCAAATATCATTATTCACTCAGACTTCCATAAGAGTAAAGAAAAATGAATATGCAGTGGCTGACATTGTTTTTAAGTCACTGGTACTATGGACAACTCCATAGTGAATGGAGTTACTTGTAGAGTTTGCCCTGCACACTAAGAGTTTAAAATGTGAGCTCATTATTAATCATAGTTTCAAAAATTATCAAATAAAACCAGTGAAGATTTGAAGATGCAAACATTTCAGCTATGAAGATTTACATTTCACTTTCTAATTTATTAAACATCTGTGTGCCCTTTTATCTTTGGTTTCTTTTAAAAGTATATTTAATGCCTTTACAATACCTTTAATTTATTGGGATCTCAGAATCATTGTTTACTATCCCTTATTTGACAAAAAGTCAAATGTGTATGTTCTACCTCCAATGGAAATGTTTACAAGGTCAAGACTTAATTCAATTCAGCCAATACCAAAGTTGCTTGACTTTCAATTCCTGTGCATTAGTGTGATGATTTCTGTCACATAGCAGCATTCCGATTCTATGTAACTGAATGGAGATGATAAGTGCTTTCCCCTCTTTATTTAAAAAAGATTAAAAGGAATAAAAGAAATAATGTATGGAAATATTTTTAAAGGTGTGGTGCTCTTGGGGCTGGTACTGTTTCTGAAGAGTACTGGGGATTTACTCTTTAATCTCAGCTCCTTTGGATATGAGATTAAGGAGTAAAGTTGTTTGGTTAAACACTATAATTTTAAAACATTTGCATATCATATCCTTGCCTATAAATATGAAGAAATTGTGAATTATAGACTATTTGAAACTTTGCAGATTTAGAAGCAGTCTTTTACCAAGTACTTTCTTATACATTGAAAGTAAATGAGTGTTCAGGGATTAGCTTGATGCAAAGCCTAATTCAGAAGTGAAGGAATCATTACATATAAATTAATACAATTTGATAACACTATCTTTCTAGCTCTGTTTCTTTTTCTTTTCCATATGTCTTCACTGAAAGGTCTATTGTAACGTTCATGGCATGTGGTAGGAGACTTCCATTAACTTTACAGGCTTCTCCTATAGTCTTATAACAAGCCTCATATTATTTGTTTTAAGGATTAGGTTATACTATAAACCCCAGGTACATCACAAAAGGATCTATAAGCCCCAGATACTCATTATACATCATGATGGAATTTGGTAAAACAAACTGTAGAATTTTTTTCAGCAAGCAACAAACAATTATCTGTGGACCTGTCAGAGTATGGCTACCATTTGCTTAGTTGTATGTTCAACGGTATGCAGTTTATAATCTAATTAATTGAACAGAAAAAGATTGCAACAGTAACAAATCGTGAAGAATAGCAAATTAAATGTTCTATTCTTTGTTCTAGAAATATTGTAGAAATACAGAGGAGAAAAGTAATAAAGACTTGGAATTAAGTAGTAAACAAAACAGCTTTAAAAAGCTTTTGGCCATAAGTCTTGAAAATTAACCAAAATTTTAACATATACTAATTAAATATATGTTCAGCATCTATGTGTCAGACACTTCATTATATAACAACATGGAAGATACAAAGATGGGAAAGACACTGTCATACCTTGTACATTTTTGTGTAACAATGAAGGGGTAATGTGATAGAAAATAGAAGCTCCCAGAGGATTTTTGAGTAGAAAGGCAACGTGGGGAAAGTGATGTTTAGGGAACATCTAACACTAGTTGGAGAGAGGGACTGAATCGGATAGGGGAGAAATTAGCCTGAAAAGGGGGCTATTTGGAGTTTGTTTCTCTGATCTAGATGTCCAGTGGATAAACACAGAGAATACTTGGAAGCAGAGGGAATGAGATCAGGGAGACAGAAAGAAGCATTTCAAAAGAATGTATTTAAGGATTTTCTCTAACCCTGTTTGCAAAGGATTTCCCTACCCTATTTGTAAAGCATTGCAGTGTAAATAATTTGCCATATATTGATACCCTCTTTGTAAATGAGAGAAAATGACCCGGAGCAGGGAGACGCTTACAAGACAAGTGAACAGCATCTCTGGGTCTCATTTGCACCTGGCTGATAACAAGGTGCTCAATCTTGACGCCAAAAGACAGATGACTAACTTGCTGTTTTTGTCAGGCAGTGGGACTTGAGTTTATCTCTGTTAAATGCATAACAGTGTTTCTCCATGCAGGCACTATTGGCTTTCAGGCAGGACAGTTCTTTTATCTCACTCTTCTGCATATTGGACAAGATTTATATCCCGGGCTCTCAAACACTAAATCTCAATAGAACTCCCTTTCCCAGTCATTGTGACAACCAGAAACACCTCACAGTTTTTCAAATGCCTCTGGAGAGGCAGTGCTAGTTCTGCATGAATTAAAGGTGACAGCGTCTTTAATTTTACCTAGAAGGAGCATGAGACAACATAGTACCTCTCTGCCCTTCAGTTACACTCATCATTTAAAAATGATTTCCTTCATGGATCTAAGCCTGGGTGCTCAAGGCGTTTTCTGATATTCTTGTTAATTTTAATAGGTTAAAGGATCTTGCCTAGCATTTTAGTGTTTCTGTTTCCAAAAGTAAGTCTATTATTCCTCAAGTAGTTTTTAGAAGTTGTGAAGTATCAATTATAAAGTGGCCTGTTTCTGCTAATGCTTGTGTGAAATGTGAAATTCAGGTTAGAAATCAGAATTCAAAAAATGCTTGGTTTATAATCCCATTCTTTTATTTTCTTTTTCAATTTTTTAACTTTTTGTAGAGATGGGGGTCTCTCTATGTTACCCAGATGGGTCCTGATCTCCTGGGCTCAAGTGATCCTCCTGCCTCACAAAGTGCTGAAGCCACCGTACCAGACCTCTAACTCAATCCTTGAGTAGCATTTTTCAAACCTTATGTTATGGTGTGGTGGCTGCTGTAGATAAAAGACCTAACGACAAATGAATGCTCCAATTAACTCAGTAGATTTTTCTTTTCTTTTTTTCTTTTTTTAGACGGGGTCTCACTGTCGCCCAGCTCTAGTGCGGTGTGCAATCACAGCTCACTGCAACCTGGACTTCCCAGGCTCGGGTGACCCTCCCAAAACTCCTGAGCTCAAGTGACCCCCCTTCCTCAGCCTCCTGAAGTTCTGGGATTACAGGAATGAGCCACTTCAATCCTGGCTTCAGTAAATTCTTAATAGAATTTAGAGACCAAGAACCTGTTTTACAACAACTTAAAACCCAACTATATCATTCACATAGAATCACATGTACCTGGTTTATTTTCCTCAATCCTGGCTTCAGTAAATTCTTAATAGAATTTAGAGACCAAGAATCTGTTTTACAACAACTTAAAACCCAGCTATATCATTCACATAGAATCACATATCACAATGGACCTGGTTTATTTTCCTCTCTGCAGGTAGTGTTGCACTAATAAAAATTAGAGCTCTCATCAGTTATATGCTCCCAAGTATGCTTTCAGGTCAGAATGTTTAAACAAAAATTTACGCTAAATTCCCATTTTAGTTGTGGATGTAAAAACCTTTCTCTTTGTTCCCCTTTCAAAGAAGAATCCAGGAGACCCTCAAGGTCTAACATGCCCAGAGCCTATTTTGGAAATGGAGAGGGGATTATTATCACGATACCTACACAGAGAAGGCACACTGGCATTTAGTGCCAAGACCATCCATGTCAATGTCCTACAATGTGTGGGTCAGATTTGCACAATGAGGAATTGTCCTTCCAATAACACTTCTATAAGGAAATGAAGGCCAACCAGTACGCTATGAGGTGGTTTCCACAAAACTTTGCCCAATAATGGCACTTCATATTATCTAACTAATCCAATCAGAAAATCTCAGATGCTGGTGAGGTTACAGAGAAATAGCAACACTTTTATACTGTTGGGAAATTAGTTTGTCCATTGTGGAAGACAGTGTGGTGATTCCTCAGAGACTTAGAACCAGAAACACCATTTGACCCAGCAATCCTCTTACTGGGTATATACCCAAAGGAATATAAATAATTTTATTATAAAGATACATGCATATGTTCCTTGCAGCACTATTCACAATAGCAAAGACATGGAATCAACCCAAATGCCCATCAGTGATAGATTGGATAAAGAAAATGTGCATATACACCATGGAATACTATGCAGCCATAAAAAGGAATGAGATCATGTCCTTTGCAGGGACATGGATGAACCTGGAAACCATTATACTTGGCAAACTAAAGCAGGAAGAGAAAACCAAACACTGCATGTTATTATGTATAAGTGGGTGTTGAACAATGAGAACACATGGACATAGGGAGGCGAACATCACTTTCTGGGGCCTGTTGGGTGGGGGGCAAGGAGGGGAGCATTAGGGAGAGCATTAGGGAAAATAGCTAATGCATGCGGGGCTTAATACCTAGGTGATGGGTTCATAGGTGCAGCAAACCACCATGGCACACGTTTACCTATGTAACAAAACTGCACGTCCTGCAAATGTACCCAGGAACTTAAAAAAATAATAATTATTATTAAAAAAATCTCCTCAGGAACGACGACTGCAAAACTCACACACACACAGTCTAGAGAAAAAAACAGGCAGAAGAGTTAGGCTGGGAGAGGGAGACAGAGAGAAGCAGAGGGAGAGAGAAGCTGAGTTGTGAGTAGGGCCCTGGGCAGCAATGGTTGGCTGCCTCTAATGGGACACTGAAATGACAGCTTCCCAGACCTGCAGTAGAAACCAGAGCTGCAGCTATGCCATCTTGACCAGTGATAAACAATGCCCAGTTCTCTTCTGCCCACTTACTTGCGTTTGCCCTTGGAAACTTAAATGGACTTGGTCTTCGTATAGTCACTCCAAGTACAGCTGCTTTAACTATACTACTAGGTATACTACAGTATGTTTCCTCTTCTGCAGAAAATCTTGATAAATAATACATTAGTGGTTCACTGATTTTATTTTTCAACAAATAAATCTCTTCTCGTACAAATGCAGTCCATTAAAATATGACAAAAATACTGCCAATTCTTGAAAGTCAGCCTAGGTAATGCATTTTCCTTCCTTACCTCTCCAAAAAGGATACAAGAAGAGGAGGAGGAGGAGGAGGAGGAGGAGGCGGAGGAGGAGGGGAGAGAGAGAGAGAGAGGAGGCAAGAGAAGGAGGGGAGGGGAATGAAAAGGAGGGGAGTGGAGAGAAGCGGGAGGGGAGGAAAACCTTTGAGATACATCTTGTGAAACCCAAACTCAAAGTTCCAACTATTTTATAAAGCAAGAGGCAAATGAGAGTGATATGTCTGAAGTCTCCGGAAAGGGATATTACAGGGACTTCAGTTTCTTTATAACGGGGAATGGAATTAATTGCCGTAGAAATGTTACAATAGCAGCTATGAGCTCTTGTAAGGCCTGGAGTAGTAAACTGTTCACGCTGTATTTTGAGGACGGATTTACAATCCAGGGTGAGATATAGAAATTTATACAAAACCTTCCAGAAAAGTAAACAGCAGTGATTATGGCATACAGGACATTTTGTTCTTTGGGAAAGATAAGAAATGATGAATTTATATAAAAGGTTATTATACCATCTCATTCAATTATTGAATTTTAAATTAAATCCTTGAGTTGAGTTTGTAAATGGCAGAGAACACAACCTGTCTGTTCCAAAAGC